AGAGACCACAGAGTGACACACAGAGACATAGAGAGACAAGAAAAAAGAGAGAATATTTTTGTGTGTAAAACTGTCAGAGCTAAATGTCCAGGGAGAGAGAGAGAGAGAGAGAGAGAGAGAGAGAGAGAGAGAGAGAGCCCAGTGTCAGTCCAGTGTACAGAGTGGTGGGGGGTTGGGAGTGGATTACCAGAGGACGAGAAGGTGAAGATGCCTGGTAATGTGCCTGCAAAGGACAGAGGACATACATCAATAAAGAATTGATTTAACATCCCCAACAACCCTGGGACCCTCTGGCTTCTGAGTCCTAGGTAAGGGCCAAATTCCTGGGCTCTGTATTCAAACTTTTTCTGGAATTTATTTCTCCAATCTTTTCTTTATGCTTTATGCTATACTAGTCAAATTGACTTATTTGTTATTGTTTGTTTTTTTAAGTCAGGGTCTCACTGTATAGCCCAGGCTGGACTTGAACTCTTAATCCTCCTTCCCTCAGCCTCTGGAGTGCCGGGATCACACATGACCATCACACTTGACCCTGAACTGACTGTTGTTATGAGTGCCTTGCCTTTTTTGTTGTTGTTATTGCTGCTGCTGCTTCCTGTTTTTCTTGCCATTTGGAATGTTTTCCGTTCCTTTTCTTACTCAAAGTCAATTTCTGGTTATCCTTCAAGGTCAGACCAATTGATGGATTAATGGATTATTAGAGAGTGATTGTTCTAAAAGCTACCTCTTTGGGCTAGCTTGCTCTGGCTTGCTGAGTGATGACTTGCACTGCTTTGAGATTCTTTGAGTTCCTATCATCAAGGAGACTTTCAAGAGATGCAGCCAACTCTACTTTGGACCTCGAAGAATCTCTTCTTTGTGAATTACCCATTCTGTAGCATTCCATTACAGCAGGAGGAGAACACGGTGATGGGAATGGAGGTTGTCTTATTTTTAGTTGAAAAACATTTTCATATAATATACTTTAATTATGTTTCCCTTTCCCCAATTCCTCCCAGATCCTCCTCACCTCCTTACATACCCAACTTTATATTCTCTCTCTTTCAAAACAAACAAACAAAAAACAAAAACAAAAAAGAAACAGAAAAACACAAAAATGAAAATAAAAAACAAGCAAAGGACCAATAAGATAAAAAACTGTTCAAAGAAAGCAGTATGAGACAAAAGGTCTACAAAAACACCATTGAATTCATTCTGTGTTGGCTAACATGGGCATAGGACCTGCCCTGGTGTGTGGCTGAACCACTCAGTAAGAATCCATTGGAGAAAACTAATTCTACAGTGAGTGTTCTTCTAAACTGCTCAATTCATGGTAATTTGTTACATGATGATGGAAAATGAATATCTTGCCCCTCCTCTAGGCTCCCACACTGTCAACATTGAATAGAGACGAGGGCTTAGAGGGGTCTTGGCCAGAGGAGCTCCTTGTTTACCTTTTGCTAGCTCCACGGAACTTTCCTTGGAGTCCATATCATGTTCAGTTCCTCCCAGGATCCTCTCAGAATTGCCATCCCAGTGTGGACTTCCTGCCAAACACAAAGGAATAAAAGGAATCCTCCCCACGCCTGGGTCAAAGAGAAGACAGGGTCTCACTGTGCAGTCCAGACTTGCCTCCAACTACTGATCCTAATGCTGCAGTTTCCCAAGTACCAGGATTCTATGTGACCTCCATATCTGGTCCTTTCTTCCTTCTGACTGGGAGAGTCCTCACCGGCTACCCAAACTAACCCGTGTCTATATTCGTCACAGCCCCTTTCAAGCTCAGATACATTCAAATTTCTTACTCATAACACCTATATATTCATCTGTTCATTCACTCTTTTATTCTTCCAGGCACTGCTTAGGTAGGCATCAGGATATGATGGTGAGAAAGACATGTGTGGCTTCTTACCTGGTGAAATATCATAGTCAAGATTATCAATGGTGGTGGATGTTATACAAAAAAAAAATTGGACTGATCAAGGAAGTAAAGGCCTAAAGTGGCCTGTGGAGGAGGAAGGTGGGTAAGAAAGCTGATCTGAGATCCAAGGCACCGGCTGGAGTTTTAGGACTAGAGGAAAGGGTGAATCAAGGAGAAGCAGTAAGAAAGACATACTTGAGTTGTGGTTGGGGAGGGTCCAGTGGGAGGGGCAGGGATAAAACCAGGGGTCTAGAGTTCAGAGGACAAGTGGGAGCGTGGGAGAAGGTGAAGTCAGTGTGGTGTGGGCATGCAGAGCACTCCATGCAGGCCTTGCAGGCCACAAAGGAGACTTTGAACTGTACTCCAGGTGTGAGGGGAAATCCTTGAGGAGCATTATGTAAGAAAGGGACATGAATTGATTTGTTTCTTTGAAAAATTTCTTGGCCTACAAGAGGGCAAGAGGAGACTGGTATGGAGACAAGAAGAGCCATTTGAGATGAGATGGTAGAGTTTGTCTGATCTGTGATAGTGGCAGTTGGGATCGTGGGAAGTCAGTGGATTTGGGAGATAGATTGGAGGCAATATCACCAGGATGTAGAGGTAGGTGGGATATTGAGGGAAGTGAGGGACATGGTACGTTAAAGATGTGGTCCAAATTTGTGTTCCTGTGAATTATTGCTACCCCCTAACCCTTTCTAACCCTCTGTTATAAAGTAACTCAAGAAATTTTTCTTTAAAAAAAGCTGAATAGTGGCATGGTGAGACACATTTCTTTCAGGAGCAGAAAGTATGGGTTCTAGTCCCCGACTAGCTGTGTGACATTAAACAAGTTGTTTCACCTCTCTGTGCTTCAGTTTCCCTGTGTATAAAATGCATTATCAATAGTTTCTCATGGGGAATTAAATGGTAGATTAAAAACATGATATGCAGAGAAGTACCTGTACATAGGGAGAGCTAGAAATTATAATTTAATAGTCTTTGGGAAATGTAATGGTAATTACCACTATTTTCCATAAAATTTATATCCCTTTTATTAAGTGGGACTGTTCACAGAGTACAGAACAACCAAGCAGACCTGCCTTACCTAGTGATGTTCCAATTTAGACTACCACATTCCTCCCCTGCTTGGGAGTCAGCAACCATTCTTTTTCAACAAGACAAATGTCAACTCTAGTTTAGCCAGTTTGCTTCTGTTTAACCTTTCCAGTCTTATCTGCCAAGGCCTCTGATTCTGTGCCTATGTACCAAGGTCTAGAAATGTTAACTAGTCCAAAGTCCCAAAGCAACCAAGGAAGCTTCTGGAGCATTACTAGAAATCATGCATACCTCCTACACTCAGCTCTCTCCATTCCCACCTCCCCGGCTCTGCCTTGGTCTCTTGCCAGCAGCACTTACCATCTCTGTCAGGAGTGAGAAACGTATAGAAGACTGGTGGGTTCAAGGACTCCACGAACTTGGACTCTACCACTGACTCTGGCAGCAGCTGGAACTTCTCTGGGAGAAGATGAAGACTGATAGCCTCAGGGGGAGTGCTGGAAGGCAGCAAGATTGGGAGGTTTTGGGGAGATGCCCCCTGGCATAGGACCAGAGCTGCTGGTTAGGGCCATTATTAGAATCCCTGGCAGAGATGGTCCCAGAACTTGCCTGGTGCTCTTGGGTCCTAGTGGCGGCTCTTGCTGATGCCAGAGTCTTGCAGTGGGCAGCAGAGAGATCGGAGTAGGGTTAAAGGAAGAAGGGAGAGGCTCGCCAGGACTAGATGTGGGCACAGTACTGCTGGGACTTGTGGAACTCGAGAGTGTGTTCGAAAATGTGCCGAGACTCTGAGGAACTAGTGGCCTGGGCCTGGCAGGTAGTGGGATTTGGGCGTTATAGGGAGTTGGGGTTCTGGACTTGGAAAGTGGTAAGCTAGTAGAAGTTTGGTGAGATGAGACACTAGATTTAGGAGATGAAGGAATTTTAGGAGACTTGGGCAAGACAATCCCTGATCTAGAGTGTGGTAAATTTGGGGGAGTCTTGGGAACAAGACCCTTGGAGCTGAGGTGCAATGGGTGTTTGGATATCTGAAATGTGGAGATAGATTTGGGCCGTGGCAGGCTTTGGAGTGTCTGTGATATGGATTCCCCAGGTTGAGGGTATGATGGGGTATCTGGTGTAGGTTGGGCATCTGATGAAGCAGGAAGTTTGGAAGGAGTAAATGGATTAAAATGTTTCATAGTGCTACCTTTGGGCTGGGCAGGGGTGACAGGATTCAGAGGTAGGACATGTGTCCTAGAATTAACAAGTGATATCACACCAGGATTCTGGTGTGATGAAGTGTTGGGCTGCAGAGGCAATGGGACATTAGAACTTGAAGGCACAGGGGCAAGAGGTTTCATCTTCAAAGTTGGCAGTGCCAAGGTACTGGAATCTTGTGCTGGAATTTGGGACTTTGGTTGTACTGAAGTTGGTAGGCTATTAGAACACTGACCCAGTGCCCCCTGCTCCTTGGAACTGGGCACTTTCTTTTTAGGGGCAGTAATAGTTGAGGTTGGTTTCATGGGCCTGGATTTAGAAGAGGCCTCAAGGACTGAGGCTGGTTGAGCTGTGCCTGCTCCTAGGCCAAGGCTTTTGCTGGATGAGGGTGTGCTTGTCTCAGCTGTAGTGGATGGCTGGCTCATGGATTTCTCATTGGTCTTCTCGAGGTGCACCACGACCAGTGAGGTCAGAGGTGTGACAAAGTTGTATTGAAGGGATAGGTTGAGGGCTTTGGCAGCCAGCAGACGGCGAGTGGTAGTGTCCCGGGCTTGGAAGCGTGCCTCCAGCAGCTCCCCAATCGTGACATAAGCCCACAGGCGGCGGATAAAATGTGCCACACTGAGGGCAGGTTTCCCTGGGCAACCAAAGGCTTTCTGGCTGCTGTTGGTGGCTTCTTCACTACGGCGGGCCACAAGAAGCTGACCACTGTGGCCACGGGCTGCTAGGTGGATGCCCAGTTCCTGCTCACCTGGTTGCAACTTGCCAGCTACCACCAACTCTGAGCCACAAAAATAGTTAGGGAAATGGGCCCTAGGGGAGGCCCCAACCAAGCCCCCCAAATAGTCCAAGTGTACATCTGCCAGCAGAGGCTTGGAAATCTCGTCATAGAAGCCCTCTAGTTGCAGAGCAGCATCACTGTCCTCATATATGCGTCTTGCTTCTCCCTGGTTCTCCAGGGACAAACGGCGCAGCAGTGAGAAGTCAGCATCATCCCCAAAGGCCAAGCTGAAAAGAGATACCCTGTGGCCCAATGCCTGACGGATGTTGGAAAGGATCACACTGGGAGTTGTCACGCCGGCTGTGGGCTCCCCATCTGTCAGGAACATGATAAGAGGAATCTGCCCCACACCACGGCCCTTTCCAGGCTCCTGGTTGCTATGGTTCAGCACTGAAGCAGCTGCCAGCAGAGCTGCGTTGATGTCGGTCCCTAATTGGGGAGCAGACTGTGAGATCATTTTCTCAGGCCATTTCTTACCCCCACTGCAGACACACCATGCTCCCAGGCTCATCCTCCCCACTTTATCTTTTCTCACGATGTTCCCACTGCCTGTCCCTCCTAACTCCTTCACGCTCACCCTGGCTCACGTGACCTGATAGTGGCGCCCATATGTCCTTGCCTTTTATCACTCCTGGTCTCAAACCATTCTCTGATTATTTCCCAGGGTGTGTGTGGGGTGGGGGCCAGGATTGTTTCCTTCTCTAGTCAGATGAGAGCCACCCAAAGAGAGCACCACCACCTTCTTACCACAGGGGAGAAGATGGCTTAGGTGACAGAGGCAGAAATCTGGGGAAATGGAGTAAGTATTTGAGATGCAGGATTTAACAAAAGTCAGAACTGGGGCAAATGCTTGGAAAGAAAATCTACAATATTGAGTTTAAAAGTCTTAGCAACATTGTGTTTGCTTTAAGGAAGATGAAACTGAGGTCCAAAGAGAAATATGCTAAGATCCAGGGGAAATCAACCATGTTCTTTCTATCAGGAGACGGAGATGGGGGGAACCAAGAAGAGGATGAAAAGGTATGGTTATATATGCAAAATGTGAAAGTGATGTTTCTGGCAGTGTGATAAATGAGAGGCATGGGTAAATGAAGAGAAGGGCTCAGAAATGGCCTGTCACCACAGCCTATCACCACAGCCTGTCCATTTGGGTAGGCAGGTGTAACACTTACAACCATCTGCTTCCATGCGACTCAGGTAGTTTTTAGCACTGTGGATATTCTGGACAGTGGCTTGGATGGAGCCTTCAGCTTTCCAGATGTTAACTTTGTCAGAAAAGGAAATGATATTGAAGTAGTCACTAGCTTGCATGTCACTGAGGATCGTGTCCATGGCCTTTTTAGTCTGTGGGATACGGGTGAAAGAGACGAGAGAAAATTTGTGCTCCATGAATTTGAAAGGCTCTTTTCACAAGACACTTAGCTCTGAGTGCTTTATGGTTTTAACTGTATTTGACCCTTTCTTTCTGTGAGTTGAGGATGTCAGGTCAAAATGTTTGTCAGGCTTTATGGTAGGTTTAGAAGTTCACTGTCTAATAGAGAAAAAATTCAGTTCTTAATTTACAAGAGTCACATTTCAAGTGTTCAATGACCACATGTGGCCAGTGGCTACTTGTACTAGATAGTACAGAATTTGAGATTATCATCAAGAAAGTTCCAATGGAACCATATATGGTGGTGCATGGCTGTAAACACCACTCAAGAGGCTGAAGTTGAAGGATTGCAAGTTCTAAGACAGCCTGTGATACATAGACTATCTCAAAAAAACAAAACAAAATGAATAAACACAAGAAAAGTCTACTGGACAGCTTCACTTTCAAGTTTTCAGCTCTGTCCTTCCCAGAGCTCTACAGTCTGCATGGTCAATGGTTTCTGAGCCCGTGATTCTGGGAAGAATGATGTCAATCCTTTCAAGTTGGAGGACCTCATGATTACAGAGCTGGCTAGCTGGCTGCTGGAATTTGGTATGCTTTGCTTCCGCTCAGATCTGCTTCTGATCCTCAGTCCCCTCTGTTTCCTCCAGGATTACTGTCTCGTCAGACCCTGGATAACCCAGATTCCATTTCAACTGCATAACTTTGCCCTTGTGCCCTTCAGATAGCACACCATTTCTCCTTTATTTGTTCATATCTTCAATGGGCTTTTACTTGCCGCTTCTCTGGAAAGCACTTTCCTGAGTTGTCTGCTTTCAACCTTCTCACCCAGATAGTCTTTACCCCAGACTGCTCACTAACACCCTTCCATGGAATATTTTCACTCTCCAGTCACATATCCAGTACTCTGATAACAAGTCACAGAATGCTTCTTCCTCTCTCTTTTCCCCATGACAATATTTAACATGGAGCTAGGCATGTAGGAGGTTCCATAGAAAGTAGATTCTAGTATTAGGTACCATTTATAGGACAGCTCCTATGTTCCAGACATTGTTGAATATCTTGGCTGTATCAGTTCCTATAAGCTTTACAGAAGCATAGTGAAGAAGACTAATATGATCCCCATTTCTAGGTAATGGCACTGAGACTTACAAAGATAGACACAGTCATTGGCTCAGAGTCACAAAATTAGTAGTTGATGGATCAGAGACACAAAACAAACATTGAGAGGTGTTAAGGGATGGCAATAGAGCTCAGTCAGTATTGCACTTCTTAGAATGCAGGAAGCCCTGTATTCGATCTCAGCACCACATAAACTGGGCATGGTTGTGCATACCTATAATTCCAGCACTTAGAATTTAGAGGGAAGAGGATCAAATTTCAAGGTCACCCTCAGCTACATGTTGAGATTGAGGGCAGCCAGGGCCATTACAAGAAACAGTGATTCAGAAAAGGAGCAGCAAGTGTTAAAAAAAAAAAGAGTAAAAACAATCATGTTACACTATCAAAAGGGGAGACAGTTATGGATTTCAGAGGCCCCAGGAAAAGGCCTTGTTACCTGCTGCAACTTGGTTCCAAACATGGAGCCGCTCACATCTATAACAAATACCACATTCTTCTCCACTGGCGGGAGGCCTCTGGGGGCAAAGTAGTGAATAAAATAGCCACCATAGATCTGGACAAAGAGAAGGGGAGCCAAGAAGAACAACGCTGAGAGCCAATCCGAATCGGGCCCCTCACACTCCCTGCATCACAGCCTGCTCTCCCCTGCCCAGGCCAGCTCCCTCTCCCAGGCTGGCTGTTGGCTCAGCCTTGCTCTGCACACCAGAACTGAACCTCTGCGCCTGAGCCCTTCATCGCAGGCCTTGCCAGGAGCAGCAGAGGGGAGAGGAGAGGCTTGGGGCCCAGGCCTACAAGGGTCAGCATCTCTGTACTGTGTGAGTTCCTGTCCCTGGGACAGGCGGACTTGCACAGGCTTGGGGGTCCCCGGGGACGTTTGTCTGGGCTCCAGGAACGGAAAGTATTGTTTTAACCTCCCTCAACAGAGTGAGCCGGGGGCCCAGCTCATTGCTGCCAAGGGCTGGGAGCTTGCAGGGCCTCCTTCTCCTCCTAAACACTCCTTTCTGCTGTTGCTGGGCAGAGCAGGGAGGGGAGGAGGAAGCAGAGGCCAACAGAGCTGTCTGTGCAGAGGGGATTGGTTAGCACCAGGTACAGATGCCTTGGGCTGTCCTGATGTGATTGGCTGCCGGCCCCTGCCCCCACACTCCATCTTTCCCTCTGCAGAGCCTGAGGGCTGGGTCTGTGCAGGGATGGGAAGGAGATGGGTCTGGAGGCCCTCAGGACCAGTGTCCTCTCCAGCCCAGGGAGGCCTAGGCTGCCTAGGGGTCTAGGCTGTCCTGGAGCCTGCAGTTCGAGGCCTGAGGCCTGAGGGCTGCCCAGGGCAAGCAGTATTTGCTCCTGCCTGCCCTCAATCACCCTGGGAGCCCCCTTTTTCCAGAGGAGAGGGAATGGGAAGAGGAAATGCTTTCCCCCTGCATCTCTGCCTCTGAATGAATTCACACAGAATGGGGGGCCTATTCCACACAATCCCGGCTCCTTGTCCCACTTCCCCAAGGCTTCTATCACTCACCCACCCTGTCACTGTCAAGCCATGGGCAGAATCCTTGGGGGGCTCCAATGTACCTGGTATACCTGCGGGGGGGGGGGATGTGCCCACAAATCCTGAGCTGCATTCTAACCAGATTTCTAGTGGCTAGCTTGTAGCCTGGGTGCCAGAAACTGCCCAGCAAGCTCCCACAGCCCTTTTAGTCAGTCACCACATAGTCTCAGTCCCTGAGCCCACTGAAGGGCACCAAGTCATATGCACTTGCACAACCCACCTTGACTGGGGAGGGGTTCATATGCCTCCCGCTGAGGGCCATGCCTTCTTGCCATGGACCCTGTATGAGATCAACCACCTTATTTCTGTGTCAGCAGCTCTCCCAGGAAGCCCCATACTAGGTCTTCCTTACAGCGTGGGCAAGCATGTGCTTTCCACTCACTGACACATCCCCCTGCTCCCAGTTGCCCTGGGACTTCTAACCAGCTTCTTTCCCCCTGGGAGCATCCCAGCTAAAGACATGGGCAGCTGCGAGAGTCCCTACCAGTGTTCATTCCCGTTGAACCCACAGCACGTGCTGCTCCCAGACTCACGGCCTCCAACACTAAAGGCATCTAGGACAAGCTTGGTTCCTAAGCCAGCAGAAGTCTTTGGTCTCTGAGCAGACCCCACCTCCCTGGTGCCTTTCCCTCTTACAAGAGGGATTCTGAGACCCTGAGCTGTCCTCCTGCCATCACAGGCCACCTCTTCAGAGCACTTTCTCTGTCCCTTTGCCCCCACACCCATCCTCCCACCCCAGCCAAGACAGCACGTGCAAAGTTTTCCAGGTCATTGTCTGCACTGGGAAAGCTTAAGAGAGTTAGGCAAGCTGGTGGGGCTGAGTGGCTCTGAGCAGGCCCTTCGATTTGGGTCCCGGTACCCCGAGCCATTTGGACAGTGTAGACAGCTCAATGTAAGATTCCCTGTCTTACTGCAGTCCTTCCAGCCCTGCCTCGTGGCAATAGCCATCACTGTCCTGAGTCTCTCTATGCGTCCCTGCCATAATTCTGCATATTCTGTCATGCCCCACCCCACCCCTGTGCCGGGTCCTTCATTCACTCCAGGCCAGATCTATTCACTTTGCCATAGGAAGGTAGTTGTTACCATCTCTCACGAAGACTGTCCTAATGCCTCCATGCCTGGCATCACACACACACACACACACACACACACACACACACACACACACACACACACTCACTGCTTATCTCAGCACCTATGGTGTATTTGATCTCTGATGCCAACATGGATTTGTCTGCTTCACAACCAGGAGTTAGCCAAGGGAGAGATTGGGAGGTTAGTCCAATCCCTCCTGAGTTTCTAGCACCAAGGAGTTGGGCCCTAGGCTGGACTAGTTCTGCTGGAGGATGTGTCAAGATAGGGATGAAGGAGCAGTCTTGTCAACAACACTGTATGGGGTGGGATAGAGGAGAGCAAGTGTGGGTGGATTGTGGAGGAGATGTAGATGGGTGAGAAGTGGAGGGGATGTGGATGGTGAGATGTGGAGGGGAT